CTGTCCAGCACCATCACATTCTTGTAATATTTTCTGCATGCTGTTTAAAAGCACCACAGACACATTTTAAGAATTCTGCTCCTTTAGGCCTTTCACATTTTATCAATCCCAGTTAATATTCAGAAATTTGGAACCTCCTACCATTATTACCCAATTATTTTTGCAGTTTTCTGAGATTTGCTTACATAGCTGCCTTTCTATCTCTCCCTGATAGTTCATAGATCAATTGTATGCCCAAGCAAAGTGTTTGCCTCCGCAGTGACCACAACCATTCTCTATAAGGACAGCATTAAGAAATGGGATGGCAAGCTTTGAACGGTCATGCCAGGGTTCAGGGGGCAGACAAGACCCAATATGGCAGAATCCAACATGGGAGGAATGAGTGGAAATAGGTTGTTGGGGTCATGCAAGATAATGTAGGACATGAAGGTTTTGAGGAACCTTGGCGACCAAGCAGAACCTGGTTCTGGGAGTGTTCACCATGAGCTGTACTCCCTAATATCACATGCTATAGTCTAGATGTAAAATGCTATTGAAAATGGCTGGATCAACCACTGTTGATGGAGTAAGTGTCAGTTTGATGGGTAAAACTACAGGATGCACATTTGTTGGATACTACACCAAATATTTGAAGCAGCCATTTGCAAAGCCCAGGTACATTTAATTTGCAGTCATTACATTACCCATTTGATGTGTACAAAGTGAAAGTGCTTGGGGCTCAGACGTTGGTCAAAGGCGATTGGCAGCATGCCATTGCTGATTGCAAATTGAACTTAACCTTCTCAGCAATTTTGAAGTTAGCTGTAATAACTTTACAAAAGACCAATACTGACTGAAGAAGAATTACAAGGAGAATTGCTATTCATCCAAGCGGCCTGTGGGAGTCCCAAAAAATCATGTCCTCATTGATCATGAAGCATTACAATGATCTGTACTGAATAGAGTGAGAAGGTGAGTGTTTGATATTGGTTTGGGGTAGAGATGGTGTTATAACACCGCAGGTACTCCATTCTCGATGTCATTGAGTGGTCTTCCAGTTGGCAAGCAGTCTTTACCAAGTTGCTGCAAATACTGAGCCTGAGTACAGATGGATGATGGGGATTTAGATGTTATTTCGATGCAGCATGTCTCATTGCATGGTGAAGTGTGCTCAGGATATGACACCAATGACAGCTTCTAGATCTAAGGCAGTCTCTTGTTCCTTATCTTCCCATGTTAGATCATTTCCACTGAGAAACCTGGGTCCAGTCTACGTTGACATGTTTGTCATTATGGTTATCTGCACTAGAAGGCAACGATGGATATGAGAGGAGCAAGACCAATGGCATGCCCAGGAGCAGCAGCGATCAGTGTGAAGGATAGGGAGCACTCAGCTCAGGGAGAGTTTGCTGCCACAGGGCCCCCCTGAATGAGTGCAGTCTTCAGGAGGACCAGAGATGGTCTCCCTGACTCCATTTCCTAAGGATGAATGATGCATCATATAGACGCAGGCTTTGTATGTCTCAGAACACTGTGATGGCACTGTACTGGATGTTGCAGTGGAATCCAAGAGCTGGAGGAGAGGGAGGCCATCCTTTCCCAGTGGCTGTGAAAGTCACTGTGACATTAAATGTCTATATGACTGGGTCCGTTCAGGGAGCTACCGGAAACCTGTGTGGGATCTCCCGGCTGAATGCTCCCAAATGCATCAGGGCAGTGACTGATGCCTCATGCACAAGATCACCCCTGGCCATTTTATTCCCCCGATACAGGGTCAGTGCTGCAGGCTAGGCCACGGGATTCAGGAACACAGATGGGAAGCCCCAGGTGTAGGGTGCCATTCACTACACACATGTGGCACTGAGGGGCATATCAGAATGCTGCAGAACTCATCAACAAAACGGGATTTCATTCCATTAATGGATATGGCATCTGTGATCACATTGCCACTGCCTGGAGGTATGTGCCCACTACCTTGGTAGCTGCCATGACTTACAGCATTCTCTTGTACTCAGTGCGTTTGAGGATCCAAAGCTGGTTACAGGAAGACAGGAGATACCCACTGTAACCATGGATCATGACATCATTGCACAGCCCCTATCTGAGGGGAGCACAGATACAGTGCTAACCAGGCTTCATCCAGGGTGATGGAGGAGCAGACAATAGGATTGCTGAAGATAGGTTCTGCTGCTTGGAATGGTCTGGGCAGGCCCTCCAGTGTAGTCAGGACAGAGAGTGCTGCATCATCCTGGTGTGCTTTGCTCAGTATAATTGGAGCAGGCAGCAAGGCATGTGCTGGATGCTGAGCAACTGGGGGATGGGAACAGTCTATCGAGGAGGAGCATGAGGAGACTGCAGCGGTAGGAGGGGGAGGAAGTTGGCGTTGTCCATATCAGAACTTGTTCGGTACTTTGGGCCAGACAAGACAGTATTGATTCCCACTTCCAATAGATGAGAGCTGGGTGCAATGAAATGTGTGGACTGCAAGATATCTTTTGGTCATGATACCAAAATCTGATTCATGTTGAGGGTACAAACTTCAGCCTCAAATTGTTTTGTTTTTGTCTCCTTTTGCTGCCTGTAAGTGAAAGCTCATATTTATATTTGACTGATTTTTTTGCCTGAATGTGATGTTCCTCTAGAATCATAGCATTTTACAGTACAGAAGGAGGCCATTCGACCCATCATGTCTGTACCAGCTCCCGAAAGAGCCACCCAGCTAGTCCCACTCTCCCGCTATTTCCATTACCCTTTAAGTTCATCACTTTCAAATATATTTCTAACTCTCTTTTAAAATGTTGCATACAATCTGCCTCCACCACTCTCCCATTCCAAATCCAAACAGTAAGGAAGTTTCTCCTTATCTCAATCCTAGCTCTCTTGCTGACAATCTTTTTTTTTACTCATTCATAGGATAAGGCATCGCTGGCTAAGCTAGCATTTATTGCCCTTCTCAGAGGGCAGTGAAGAGTCAATCACTTTGCTGTGGGTCTGGAATCACATGTAAACCAGAGCAGGCAAGGATGGCAGTTGGGTTTTTCTTGACAATCAACAATGAATTCATGGTCATTGTTAGACTCTTAATTCCAGATTTTTATTGAATTCAAATTCCACCATCTGCCATGGTGGGATTGAAATTTGGGTCCACAGAACATTATCTGGGTCTCTTAATTAACAGTGATAATACCAATAGGCTATCACCTTCCATAATCTTACTGACATGCCATGTAGTGAAAAAATTATATTCTTTGTTACCTTGTCAAAATTGTTTATAATTTTGAACGCCTCAAAAAGATCACGCCTTAATATTCTCTGCTCCAAGGGGAATAGGCTTAATTTCTCCAAGCTTTCCTTGTATCTAAAATCTCTCAATCCTTGTATCATTCTAGTAAATCTCCTTTGCCCTCCCTCCAGGGCTTTAACATCATTCATTAACTAAGGTGCCCAGAACTGAACACAAGACTCCAAATGTGGTCTGACCAATGATTTGTAGAGGTCTCCACTGGACAATGATGAGCTGCAGACCTACAGTGGGTAATGGGGACAGCGTAGCACTGTCATGGAGAGAGTTCAGACAGGATGTAGCTAGGGACAGGTAATGTGTGTGACCTGGGGTTAAGCAGTGACTGGGGTATGAGAATGGGGTCATACGTGGAAAGAAGTGTTAGCCATGCCATCTGTGTCATGGGCAGCATGGATTCTGGCTGCTGAGTCATTAAGTGGTGGTAAGGGACAATGTCGGATTGCCAATGCTTGTTTGGGTGTGCAGAGGCCTTTCAAAGATGGTGTGGGTGCATGGCATGCTGGTTTCTGCTGAGCAGTATTTCCTCTGATTTCTTTCTGTCTGCATAGGCCTCTGAGGTCTATGCATGCAAGCAAATTCCAGAACCGGGCACCGATGCCAACTGCAGTGTGCAGAACCTGTACATAACTGATTTTAGGGTCCACTTGCTTTTACTTCATGGGATAACATTATGGCCTTAACAGGGAAATATATGGAATTATTATGTGCCTTGAGTAGATATGAACAGGAAATGCAGAATCATAGTCCAGATTTACCAGATAAACCAGCAGGGCTGTGAAGGTTCACATTTGTGACTGCATTCAGAAGTGGGAGACCATATCTGCTGAAAATGGGATTATCACAAGTTCAAACTTGTGGGTGGCATAGTTGCTCAGTGGTTAGCACAGTCCAAAGATGTGCAGGTTAGATGGACTGGCCATGGGGAATACAGGATTCTGGGCAGGATGCTCTTTGGAGAGAGGGTGTGGACTCAATGGGCTGGATGGTCTGCTTCCACACTGTAAGGATTCTATGAAACCTTGCAGTGGCTGCACAAAGCCACACAGCTTAGAGTAAGTCTTGCTGCTGAGTGGTAAGTTGTACTGGGAGCCAGAATTGGGTGTGAAAGACATTATTGGGGCAGATAATTAATGTAGTGATATTGGTCATGTACAGCTAGAGAACTCCAAAAAAAGCTCAACACAATTCAAAACTAATGTAAAGATTTAGCTTCTAAAACACAGCAATTTCTACAGACCTTTAAAAAAATTAGAGCTTTTCCTAACTGGACTGCTTCCAGGTTGATGTTTGTTACTATATAAGATTACCTTTCTCTCTCTTTTATTCATATTTGCATTTTATCACCCTTGAAAGCACATCTTCACTCTCTCAATCTATCTTGTTTGCTCTCACTTTTCCCCTTACACTGCCTTCCTGTACTCTTTATGAAGCTAAAGATCATTGTACGAATTAAAGTGTCATACCCTGCCAAACTGTAACCCAGAAGAAAGTGTTTGCTTAGAAATGCATATACAAGTTAATCAATTTGTGAGATCAAAATTCTACATGTGTGTAAACTATGAAAAATACAGATGTCTGTGTATATAGAAAAGTATCATTAATCTGTCAGTTATTAAGGAGATTTGTGGGTTTGGATTTATTTCTGTATAAATTTATGATGAGTAACACCAGGGTTAAAGAACTCCATCCTTAAATAAACAGATAACTGAGATCTGAAGTTAGTTCAACTGAAGAAAGTACTATGAAGCAGCTTTGATCAATCTCTCTGCAATGACGGAAGAATTAGGTAAGTTTCTTATGTTACCTTCACCTTGTACAGGACATGCTGAATTTATAACTTGTTTTCTGAAAAAAGATGCATTTTAATTTCATAGCTGTGTTGAAACTTTAGTTTTAAAACATTCTAATGATACAGAGTTTTATCGATTAAAATGTGAGTTGATTATCTTATAATTGGTCGCAGGTGTAGCTTTATATTTCATCATCCTTATGATTGTTCAATATATTTTGAATAATGCTTGAAGTGAACATTTAATAATTTGGAAACTAACATTAATTGTGGTTAATATAAAATGTATTAAATGATTGTGTTAGTTTTCCTGGATCCAATTCATTCCTGGTGACCTCAGAAATTTTGCATAGTTTAGCAGCTTTAAGAGTTGTGAAATCTTGATCTATAGATTTTCTATTATTATTGATATGAAATGAGTGTATGCCTGTAGAGCATTGTAAACAAACTTTGAATTCATTACTTCATCTCTCTTGACATTACACAAGGGAATCAAGGCATTGAACTCCACAAGTCAAGCAGGGTTCATTGGACCAAAATTGAGGAAGGACTGTTGTGGTGGCAGGTTAAAGAAGCTTTAGGGTGCAGCTGAAAGGATAAGGAGGTCAAAAGTTGGTTGATGAATGGGTAGAACGGATGGAGAGGGTAGGTAAAGTCAGATTAGACACCTAAGTAAAATGTAGGACAAGCTAGTGGTGAGAAAAAGACGATAAAACAGAATTAACTGTTGCATGGAGCTGAAGAGGAAAGTAGAGCAGCAATTTGAAGGAAGTTTGAAGTGGGGGGAAGAGGAAGAGTGGGAAAAGCCTGAAGACTGCCTACATATTGGTATGATGCTGAAGCTTGATTGAAGTGATTCTACTGCCCAGTAACATGGTAAGAGTTGGACTGCAAGTGAGGAATAGGGAATGGGTGAAGCTTCGCAACTGAAGGGGAGGTAAATGACTGAAATAGGGAATGAAGTGTAGAAACATGCTCAGGAAACTAACAAAGTATAGGGTCAGCAAACATTTTTTAAAACCACAACTGGTAAAATCTTAAACCAAACACAAGAATTAGGCAATTTTTTTTTAAAAAATGATTTAGATCAAGCAAGAAAAGGTCTAACAAAATGGAGCCAGTGGGTGCAGGAAGATTGCCATGCACTTGAGGTGGGCAGGGGCAATTAGAAATGATTGGTTATAGATTTGGACAGAGGTAACAGAGAAGTAAAGTCTTTCTCTTGCCTCTGCCTCCATCTCTTTCTCTTTCTCTTATATATCCCTGCATGTGGCTGTCTACACCAAGATGTATCGTGAGAATTGATGTTATTTTTGTCTCACTCACACAGACATACACAGGAATGTTACTGGCTAGAAAATCCTATGAGCTTTAAAAGTCTAATCAGCAGATTTCCTCTGCTTTGTTCATTGTCAACAAGAGAATGATATGGAGGAAAATGCTTTCTGCACTCATTAGTACAAGTAAGGAAGTCCTTTTAAAGAAAGATAGTTTATATTCATAATAGAGCCTTTTCACTAATTGTATAATGTCAAGAGTGACCCTGCATCCCACTTTCTGCAAGCTTTATCAAGGAAAATTAATTTCTTTGGTCAGCCTTTGCTGAAATGTGGAGCCCAATTTTAACCCTCAAAACATCTTAGTTAAAATAGCTGCAGCAATTTATCTCCTGTGTTTCCACTGTTTACCTGTGGGTTGTTATGCACAACAGCCCAACAGGCAAAACAAAACTGATCCTGGGCCAGAAGAGTCTGAGAGTCATAGGCTATTTAAAATGATTTTCTCTTTCCATGTTGAGCAGGAGTGCTCCTCTATAGCTCAAAAAGAAAATTTGAGCTTTTCCTACCTTGAGATCCCCTTCCCCATCTCCTGATTGAGATACATTCTTAATTCCTTTCCTACAAACTTAGTTAACTACTAGAGACTATTGTATGAACTCAGTGATAACTTGAGTTATTTTTGGGATCCCAAAAATTTCTCTGCTTATTTGGCAGCTCACTGTTCCCACTGGATAAAGGATCAACAAGACAGCATTTCCTTGATACTGTGAGGTCATACAGAGGTTGCACAGAGAGAAAGGAGTCGAGTTTCATAACTGTAAGCAGGAATCTTTTATTAACTATATGCACGACATACAGAGTTAGGTATGAGAGAGCATTCCTAGAACCATGCTGGCTCAGTCCTAATTCTAAATGCATCAGAACATCAGCAGGCATAATTGATGCTGTATACTATTTATTAGCTTAACCATTATCCTACACCTTCTCCTAAGTCTTTCCTTTTGACTTTTTAATCACTATTATTTCCCGTTAATATTTTACCACTTGTATTTCTGTTTGCACCTACCCATCCCCATCTCCCTCTCCTCAAACAACAAGGTGC